GAAAATTCCAGCCGCTCATTCTCCGTCCTCCGGCTGCCATTTTTGGCGATCGAGGTATAGAAATCTATCCTTTCTTCATGATCTAGCTGATGGATGGGTAGGATTTCATTAATTTTGAGCCTAGATTATCTGATTTTTGAATTAGGATTCGGCCGATTTTGAGTTAGCGATTACGGCCACTTCCGGTCAGTTTTTGGGGTATGCCCAAGAACAAAAGTGACTCCAAATAGGGTGTTATACCTAGGGTAGAAATCTTGAGCCGAGATTTTGAGATTTTACGACGATGCTTAATTGCTTTGGACACCCACGCCCTGCCGGCGCGTATGGTGGCGCATGGGCACTGTAAAAAAGGGGCATTTCGTCCCGATGTGATCCTCACGAGCGCATAGGTGTGCTCGGACTTCAATTTGAATACCGTTAGAGTCCCGAATGGATATCGCATATTGTGCATTATCCGGGTTCACTAGGTTTGGACCTTTGGATGGTCCTGAATTTATTATATGTAAATCTAGACATCCTTAGAATCGCGTAGAATTTGACGGATCGTAAAACGGAGTCCCGGATACAACGAAAATGCCAACCCTAGGGTTAGGGTTTTAGTTGCCGTCCGATTGTGCGATCTTGAGCGATCTGACCATCCGATCCGGACCAAATTTGCAGGACGTGTGTCCTAGACCTTGTAGAACCTATTGGAACTTTTAGATCGGAATTTGGAGGTCGTGGACCCCGTCGGCCCATTTGACCAAGGATGGGTAGTTTGACCCTAGGTTGACTGTGAGACTTCCTAGGTAGTGTTACCTTCCTAGGAAGATTAAAATGACCGTAATGACAGGCCTTGATTGTATGTTGGTTATGTGGGATTAGGATATTAGTTATGGTTCGAAATTGGGGGATTGTCGGATGCTATACCGGGGTTGAGGTTTATACAATAATAGATTTAATTTATATTTATATGTATTGGCAAGGGTATAAAAAGAGTTTAGATTGTCAGTTTGAAGTGCTATACACACTACTCTATGTACCTTCCCGGATATTGACTACCCTGTGTAAGCACCGTCCTGTGATTGTGAGGTCATACGTGTCGTAGGAGTAACTGGTGTGTTGATAGACCCCATACGTGGCGTTGGTATATCCGGCGTATGGGGAGATATGTGATATTGTGTATTAGTAGCCGGCGTGTTGACAGACCCCATACGTGG